AACTAATAACTTAGGAGCCTGTGGTTTTTTTATCGCCAGATAGGAGGTGGGGAGGGGAAGGGAAAGGAAGGGGGGAGGGGAGAGAAAGGGGAGGGTTCGGAGAAATCTTATTGTGTCACAAAATACTGTACTGATCCCCAAGCCTCTCGCTGGGAGCCAATTTTCTAAAGCGCCTCTTTCAAATTCTGTTAAAGACGATTGAACTCCATTCTCGCCGAAAACCTAGTTGCGAGACCTGGTTCAGTTCTGTTTTCATTCTCAGCCGCCCCAGGATTAAGATCAGTCAATTAATCAAATTCTTTGTTATAAAACGATAGTTGTTAAAGCTGCAAAGATTATGGAGTTGTTTATCTAAGGATCTAATGTGCTAATGGACTTATAAAAGAATTACAATTTGTGAAAAAACTAAGATATACAGCTTTCTCTAGGAAGGTAAAATAAACTAAATAAAGAAGTTCTGTTGAAAATGTTGAGTTCAAACCTAGGGGAGCAACGAGCAAGCAAGAAAACACTCTTTTTCGTTGATTTCTTTTTAAGTTTCAAATCTTGTTTCTAAATCTTTCGAAAGTTTAGGCCTTCTCAAACCCGTTCTATTTTCCTAGATGATATAATATCCTTATCTCATACCCAGATCCTACAGTTTAACTTTACCTTTCAACCACTTGGCCGTGAAAAGTCTGGGTGCTAGACTCATAAGATCCCCTAGTCTACCTTAAAATAAAACGGAAAAAACTAATCAGCGCTCTCTTTGACCTGTCTGGGCCCTTCAACAACATCTCCATATAACTACTAAAAACTTTTTCGGCTTCGTTCTCTATTCCGATGTTTTTGTACATTCCACTTTCTTTGTGTAGCATCAAATCTCTCTAATTTCATCACGCGAAATTAATACAGGTCACAGAAGACAACGAAAAGAGTAGCATATCTTTTTAATCAATCATCATGACAATGAGGTCAATACAGTAACTCCCTTTGGGTCCAAATGAAAAAAATTAAAAAAAAAAAAA